CTTATTTACAAAACAGAAACAGACTCACAGACAGAAAACAAACTTAGTTACCAGGGAGAGAAGGGGATGGGAAGGGATAAATTGGGAGTTGGAGATTTGGAGATACTAACTAACACATATAAAATAAATAAACAACAAGTTCATACCATATAACACAGGGAACTATATTCAATATCTTGTAGTAACTTATGGTGAAAAAGAATATGAAAACGAATATATGTATGTATGTGTATGACTGAGGCATTATGCTGTACACCAGAAATTGACACAACATTATAAACTGACTACACTTCAATAAAAGTATATTTACAGGAAAAAAATTACACCACACATTACACCTGACAAACACCTCGACATCTATAATATCATTGGACTCTCTTATCCACCCCATGAGGAAGACAAGGTGGGAGATATTACCTCCACTTTCTGGACAGAAAACAGGCTCAGGGGATGGAATAGCTTGTTCACGCAGATGGTTAAGGGCATAAATGGCGCCTGAGTCTCGCTCCAGTCCCACGTTGCGGGCTCCTCCCAGGACACCTCCCGAGGCCCCTCTGCAGCCTGTAGGAGCCTTCAGACTTCAGTGTTCTGCAGCTCAGGGGTCGCCTGCACACCACGTGACTGCCCCTTTCTAGACTTCAGCAACTTGCTCTGAATGGTAGCCATGGGCCTTTGGACATCAACATTCTAAGCTCCGACTTCAATGCTTGCTAGAGTGTGCTTTTGGGCACGCATTTATTTACTCTGCAACTTTTTTCTTCTATATAAAATGAGGTTAAGAATATTTGTCTTATCTAGGTTGGAAGACTGTAGTCCAGGCCAAATGAAACAATTGTAGCTAGTATCTGTGAAGTACTTAGGTACTGGTTCTAAGCACCTACATCCATTGGCTCATTTAAGTCTCACAATGATTCTACAAGGAAGGTGTGATTACCATCCTTATTTATCAGATGAGGAAACAGAGGAGGTGAGAAATGAAGTAATCAGGTGAGAAATCAGTAATCACACAAGGAGCCAGATTAGGAACCCAGGCAGCCTAAATACAGAGCACATACCCTTAAACACGCTCCTGCTCACCTCTGAGGACAGTTTGGTGGGGGGCGGTGGAGGGGAACAAATAAAATACGCCATAATATGTGTGATGCTACAGGCTATTCTTTCCTTTTGTTCCCAACAGCCATCAAAAGATGCTGAAACCCTCATCCCTGGATCCTACCCACGCTGTCTGGGTGAATAAATTCTGGTCTTTTGGTGGCAATGAGAGGAGCCAGCGATTCATCGAGCGCTGTATCCGGACCTTCCCCAGCTTCTGCCTGCTGGAGCCCCAGGGGACCCCTGTGTCCTGGGTCCTGATGGACCAGACAGGAGAGATGAGGATGGCGGGCACCTTGCCTGAGTACCGGGGCCAGGGCCTCATCACCTATGTCGGCTGTGCCCATCTGCAGGGTCTGGACAAACTTGGCTTCCCCCTGTATTCCCATGTAGATAGAGCCAATTACATCGTGCAAAAAGTGTGCTTCAACCTACAGGCTATCCGTGTGCCTTGTGACTGGAACCAGTGGAACTTCGTGCCTCTGTGAAGCAGCCCCGAACCCAAGACAGTGTGGGCTGGACGGGGCATGTGGTTGGAGGAGCAGATGAGTGGATGGAGAGAAAGAATAAACTGGAATCAGTGATAATGAAGTGGTCCAAGGTCTGAGGAATTAGTGATGGGTGGTAAACAGGACAACCTCAGTCTGTGTTCTCGGATACCTCCCCATCCCCTTAGCTTCCTCAGTTTGAAACAGACCAGGCACTCCTGCTGTCTGGCTGGTGTAGCTCCCACACCTCCAGGTGCTCCATGCCCCTTGTCGTGCTTTATAATTAGCTGCATGCTCTTCTACATTGTTCTTCCTGGAACCCCTAGCCCACTGACCCTTTCCAGTTTGTCAGAAGGGGTGTAATATTTTGTGCGTTCTACCATTTTTCCCTCTGGCTTTTTATAGCTTTTTGAAAAATTGATTGGAGAGTGAGTTGTCTTCTGAGTAGGTCTTTAAAAGATCCTCCCTTCCCAGGTCACTTCTTAAACTTTGTATTATAATCACATGAGCTATATTATACACATGCACACACTAGATATAGATAGATAGATAGATAGATAGATAGATAGATAGATAGATAGATAGATAGACAGACAGACAGACAGACAGACAGACAGACAATCTCAGAGAGAATTAGAAGAAAAAGACCGACTGGTGTTAATATCTTATTTTGCAACTCCTACCCCAGGAAAGAGGTACTAACGTTGTTTCTGTTAGTAATAAAATAAAAATGCACCAGGTGAGGGCTGTGAATTTCAGATTCATTTGGGGGCTTACTGAGGGCTAGCCTGGGAGACAGCCTCTCGGAGGAACTCCTCCAAAGAGGTCAGATGGGAGGTCAGCATATACGTGATTTTAGAGAAAGGGTGTGTGCAGTACATTCCTGCTAACCACGAGGAGCAGAGATCTCCATGAATGATTTTAGGGCTTTTCTAAGCACGCAAGAATTGGAGTTCATAAAATTTTCTCCTGCAAATGTCTAACCATCTGAAGCCCTAATCTGCCAGTTTTCCCAGAGCATGAGTTTCTCATTCCTCAGCTCCCCACCGAATTCCTTTCAGGGTGTGTTGAAGGTGTGTTGAAGGTCAGCGACTGCAGTGGTTAATGACCCGATCCTCGTAGAACCAGACGGCTAGCAACATTCTTTAGTTAGCATTTCTAAAAGCTGAGTTTCCTTAATCCCCTGCCACCAGTCCCCATGTAATAAAGAGATTCCTTGGTTGGTTGGTTGTGGAAGCTTAATCTACATGGTCCATGAAGGGAGATGAGTCTGGGGAGAGGAGGAGGTGGAGGCATTCAGCCCCGGAGAGGTGAAGGTCTATTATCAGGGGCAGAGGCTGCTGGAGGCTTTGTGCAGGATGGAGACTGGGATCTCGCTTGGTGGCAGCACATTATTTCAAAGTATCTGGACCCTCTGTGTTGTGACTCAGGGTCTTGTGGGAGCCTTGTTGGTGAAGGAGGCCACCAGAGAAGTCATCTCTGAGTCACCCTGGGAAGACTGTCCCAGCACTGCTGGAGAAATAGTGCCTACTTGAAGGAGAAAAGGAAAAGACACTGGTTTGAGGCTTGGGACCACCACAGCCCAACTCCTTAACGCATCAAGATAACAGCTCTGCTCTTTTTTATACATACCCATTTTCATACTGTTTTTCCTTATAGGTTATTACAAGATATTGAATATAGTTCCCTGTGCTATACAGTATAAACTTGTTTATCTATTTTATATATAGTAGTTAGTATCTGCAAATTTCAAATTCCTAATTTATCCCTTCCCATCCCCTTTACCCCCTGGTAACTATAAGTTTGTTCTCTATGTCTGTGAGTCTGTTTCTAACAGCTGTGCGTTCACATTTGAGGACCAGCTAAAGCACCACCCCCAGAAATGCCCCGAAGTCAGCAAGGGAAGAGGCTTTGTGACACTGACCAAGGGAGAGGAGACCACAGAACACTCCTTAGAGAAAAAGATCTCACGCTACCGGTGGGGGCGGGAGGAGGGCACTAAACACCATGACCCTCAGGCTGGGGAGGATGACTCCCTCTTGATATGCAGCTGGGGTGAGATAGGCTGGTTTTGAGTTTATCAGTTAGCTGACTTCAAGTGAAGTTATCTGAGAGGAGTGCTAACAATGTATATCCATAAAGGGTTCATAGGGTACAGGAGAGGGGAGAAAAGGAAAAGGTTGCTGTGGTGGTGGTTAGTCTGTTCACATTCAGTCCCCAGTACCTCCATTAAAGATAAATAAATACATTTATTTGGGAACAGCAGAGGAATTGCCATTCAGGGCACGCAAACTATGGTAGACCACAGGCACATCCAGGGAATAAAGGAGGAGAGCGCTGTTTTATAGGGGAAAGAAGAAAGCTAGAAGAGGTTGCTTTGAGCAAAAATTCGTTGGAGGAAAGAGTTCGAAGTGGCGGTTCTTATCGGCTGCAGACAAGGGAAGCGTGCTGCTGCTGGGCGCCTGCAGCTTCAGTTGCCAGTAAGAGGGAATCGTCCTTCCTCCTGCTGAACGACACAAGCTGCGATGAGTGACACATGCGTGGAAGCCCTCCCTTCACGGCTTCCCAACTCTGATTTTGGGTTAGGTCTCCTTAACACCTTTTCACACGAGTGACGTGCCAAGTCAACTCCAATGACAGCATAAAGACTGCAATTCTTATCTGGAGCAACTAGTCCCACCCAGAACTACAGAGTCTGTGGTCCAATGTCCAGAAAACGGGTTGCAAAAATCAGATCTCATGGTAAAGCATTTTTTATTTATTCTGAATCAGTGCCAAACAAGGCCCAGGTCATCAGATTCTGCAGACTAAATGGGCACCAACAAAATGTCTTTTACTTGGAAAATAACTACAAAGCCTGGAAAGCTGGACGCGTGTGCCTCATGCAGTTTATCCAAATTATACTTGGCCAGAAGAAAAGGGAGTCTTCGGGTGTGGTAACCTGAGATTTTTAGGAGAAGTAGGGTGAGGGAGGCTGTGGATAGAATCTCTACAGAGGCTGTGATGCTGTGAATCCTTGCACAGGTCAGACTCATAGTGTTGCAATCATAATTTAGAACTGTGCAAAATTTATACTTAGTCCCTCCCTCTTCCCATCCCATCTCTCTCCTCCTCCTCTCTTTATGCTTCTCTCTCAAGGATCTCAAGGTCCTTATGCTGCCCAGTCTGCTAAACACATGCAAAGTCACAAATTCCTCCCCAGAATAGTCACAGCCCCTCAGAAGAGCTTATTTGGAGATTATTAAGGGGAGTATGGTAGAAAGAAGATTCTACCCTTTCAAGTGCATGTCTAGTTAGTGGAAATTAGGGCAGAGAACTTACCAAAAGAAATGGAAAACTTCAAGAAGAAAACACTGTCACTCACCAGCTAATCCCCACTGCAGATTTGGAGACATACTGAATGGTCCCGGAGAACTCAGTGATGTGGCTAGAAGCCTGGACCATTCATTACGCAGAATGACTTAGAGTCTCCCTTCTCCTAGCTCTTCTCATTTTCTTAATGTTTCTTGGTTCTTTATCTAGACTAATGTTTCAGCCAAAATACTTGCCTTAGACAGTATCCAGATGCCAAGGACATTGGAGAAATCCCTGAGGGAAAAAAATCCAAGTTCAAGAAAGTGAAGACGGGAGTTCCTAAGGGGGGAGTGTGAAACTCAGCCTCTGCTGTAATACAGGCAGAAAGTTCCCAGTATTCCATGAGTCATGCCCTTTCATTCGAGCCTTGGAAAATCCCTGGAAGGAGATACCAGTATCCAAAGGGTATGGATAGGGGACTGAGACCTAGAAAGGATGAGTGAAGACTGGCAAATGGTCGAGCTGGAATTTGCCTGACTCACATTTACCTGACTCACATTTACCTGACTCTGAAACACTCCACTCTTTCCTAGATAAGACTACATCTCAGAAGCAATTTTTATGGGTTCTCTCCTCGAGATTGCACAAATGTGCAAATTTGTGTCCGAAGTTCGCTTTGACTACTCTCTCAGACATTAAGGAGAATATGCTGACATGGTGTTTATTTGAATAGCGTGGCATGATCACTTGTTCATGTTTAAGCATCCTTCTGGTCACATAGTGAAGAAAGTATTGAGGAAAAGTAAGGCTGGAGCTAGGAAGTCAAACCAGGAGCTTGAGGCCGCTGTCTGGGCAAGAGGTTGCAGGAGCAGGGACCATGGTGATGACAGTAGGAGTGTAGAGAAGTGAATGGACTCAAGAGAGAACTGGAGGCTCAGCTTGGCAGCCTTGATGAATGACTAGGTGTAGAGGTAAGAGACTGAAAGTAAAACTAAATTCCCATTCCTTAAAGAGAAGGCAGATTTCAGTTAAGAACAGGAAGTGAAGGCAAAATTTCGAGAGTTGATGGTGTAGTTTGTTTACAAGGGAGCAAGCGCTCCAGGTGGCTTCATGAAACAGCTGGGGAAGGGAGGAGAACAGGGAGAAGTGGGCTGCACGACGGAGTCATGGAGCATCACAGGAAAGGGGGGCAGGGAGGCTGGTTCCAGAGACTGAGGTATTTCAGGTACAGGCACACCTTGGAGACACTGCAGGGTCAGTTCCAGACCCCTGCAACAAAGCCAACATCACAATAAATGAGCCACATGAATTTTTTGGTTTCCCAGCACGTAGAACTGATATGTTTATGCTAGACTGTAGTCTATTAAGTTGTAATAGAGTCATGTCTAAAAAACAATGCACATGCCTTAATTAAAAATATCTTATTGTTTCCACCAAATCAGCTTTACAACAAACGTTAAAGAAAATTCTCTGGTCATCAAAAAATAAGAAAAGGGAACAAAAAGAAGAAAGAGGGGGAAAAAAAGACCCATAAAAGATTGCATTGGCAATTTGTGGTCTTTCATGGTTCCATATACATTTTAGAATTATTTATTCTAGTCTGTGTAAATTGTCATGAATATTTTGACAAGAGTTACACTGAACCTGTAGATTGCTTTGGGTGGTGTGGCCATTTTAATAACATTGCTCCTTCTAATCCAAGAGCACAAGATACCTTTCCATTTCTTTGTGCCATCTTCAATTTCCTTCATGGGTATTTTACAGTTTTCAGAACATAGGCAACCTCCTTGGTTAAGTTTATTTCTAGGTATTTTGTTGTTTTTGATGCAGTGGAAATGTTTACGCCAGTTATAAAATTCTGGCTTTCGAAGTGCAAGAATAAAAGTAAATGAAGCGCCGCAAATGGCAAAATAGCCTTCTTTTATACGGGTGAGCTGTGTTCCATTGGGTATGTATGCTACAGCTTCTTCATCCATTCATCTGTTGATGTGCACCTCAGATGTTTCCGTGTCTTGGTGACTGTAAATAATGCTGCTATTAATAGCAGGGTGCATGTATTCTCTCGAAATAATGTTTTTGTTTTTCTCAGATGTGTACCCAGGAGTGGAATTGCTGGGTCATATGGTGCTTCTAGTTTTAGGTTTTTGAGAAGCCTCCATGTTGTTTTCCAGGGTGGCTGAGCCAATTTACAGTCTCACCAGTGGTGTACAGGGGTTCCCTTTTCTCCACATCCTTGTTGACTTTTGTTACTTGCGTTCCTTTTGATGATGGCCATTCTGATCGATGTGAGATGGTGTCTCACTGTGATTTTGATCTGCAGTTCCCTGATATTGGTGATGTTGGGCAACTTTTCATGTTCCTGTTGGCCATCTGCATTCTCTCCTTTGAAAAAATATCTATTCAGTTCTTCTGCCCACAAAAAATCTTCAAAATTTTAAGAATAAAAGAAA